TCTTCTGTACCATTGAGATCATTAGATAGCCCACAGGTTTTAAAGGAGTTTACTACAATCTCATGTGAAATATCATCCCAAGCTTCCCTAATCCAATGACACATTATAGAATTATCAGACTTTTTTAAATTTCCTCCCCTTGTAGTCTCAAATTTACCCTCTGCCATCCACATACGCCACTTCTCCCTCATTCTGTCTTTAAACGGTTTGTTAATCGATACATCTAACGGTTGAACTACTGAAGTAAGACCACCCGGAATGACAGCTAAGACAAGATTTTGTTCTTGACATTTACTTTTGACAGATTGGGTTAGATGTCCTTTAAATGAATCTACGATGAAGAGAGACCTTTTTTTACTACGCCTTTGTCCCCAGACGGTATCTAACCAATCAGTCATTAGGTTTTCTGTCATCCATCCATCCTCATTCATTCGCACAATCACGCCTTGCGGGTAGTCCCCCTTCTGTAGTCTTTTACCTTTAAATATGACCATGGGAGGAAGTTTTGTGCCATCTCCTAACACAGCAAGCACGCAGGTGAATCTATTTTTATCATTACCCGTCGTTCTTATATGAACTGTTTTTGCTCCCCTATAATCAACAGTCATCGCTCCCACCATATCGAAAAAGATAGGCGTCTCATCGAGGTTGATAATGCAACTAGGATCGAAATTGTTTTCTGCACGAATATTTTTAACAAATTTGTGGAAGTCAGTAACTTTCTCCTGTATATCAATGGGTAATTTCTGGCCTATTTTGGTGCGTCTACGAAGGGAGAATTCGTGTCGTCTTATCAGTCCGTTAAACCATTTATCAGATGCTTTGAATTCTTGTACAGCATTTGAATATTGTTCGCTGAAATCATACGAGAGCAATTCAGTCATTTTAGATTTAACTATTGATGGGGTGACGCCGAATCCTCTATTGCGTATTACTACAGTAATCATATCGCGAGTAACCATTGTGCGAGTAATCAACGCGCGATTAATCCTGGCTTAACCATAATACGAGTTATAACAACAAATAATGCGAACCATAATAGAAAGACGGGTTTGAAAATCATATGAATCATGATTATGTAATAAACAGAGATAACGTGGACAGTTGTTACGTGATGATTCGTAGATCATTTTGCATTGTTTTTAAGGCGCAACCAAACATGCCATGAATAAGAGCCCCTTATATGATGAAGGTGGGCCCTTATTCATGGCAGTTTACGGTAATTCAGTTTGTTCTTGTCATAATAAATGCCATTGATTTGCTTGTCAATGGTTAAAGTAATAGTTATTATTATACAGTTGTCCACAAATGAATTATTTTCCAGTATCATTGTGTCTTCATCCATTGTGACAATGTGCTCAGGCAATCATAATAAAAATCAAATCATTTTCTGATCCATCTCATTTTACAGAAATACCTATACCACAGCACTTGAACAACCTCAGGGGATAATAATAAGCCTGAGAGGTGAGGCCAACAGTAACATTGTAAACCCTGACAACATATTAATATGATATTAAGCAAACACAATTATGTTCCTGAGTATGGGAGGGTAGGCAGGGATGTATAGATAGATTGCACCCAAATGTACTCAAACAGCAACATCCCATAGGTATAGGGTCCAAGGATGCCCCTTATATTATTATTTAATGACTATTACTATGTCAACAAATAAACATTTTTCCATAATAATGAAATGTTTATTTAAATAGCCGTGACATCATTAAGGAATTTAAAAAAAGAAACCACCCTGGCATCTCTTTTCTCATACATGCAATCTTCAGTTATTTATTATACAATGCCTTCCACTGCTTGGTTCCCATCATACTTTCTGTTATGCAGATTCTGTTAACATTAATATTAAAAGCTGGCTATATTAATATGGATGGATTATATGATGTTTACATATCAATTAGAACCCACAATAAATATAAAAGCATTCTGAGGATGTAAAATACCACGACCTATTGATTGAACAACTGTTGGATTATTTTTAGCAGGATTATTATTATGGAAGAACACAGAGAGCAAATATGACAATGAATCAGCCAAACACATCCCATAGACAACATTAAAGTTCCCCATCACAATGATAAGAAGAAAACTACTTTATAGAGTGGCTTACTTCCCTATATATACTGTATAAGAAGAATGTACAGCCTGAGAGCTGAACTGTGCAGACCTATGGACTAATATTATTCACATAATCTCTCAGAAGACTTGATTCTTCTATATCAGATAACCAAAATGAGTTTGGAATTACAAAATAATGTTGAAATTTAAGGCCAGCAGTTCTGGACTATTTCTTACCTGTAAATAATTGGGACGGCAATGGTTTATCTCTTTCTTTTATATCACATATTAATGATTAGTAATGGCAGTTTTGCAGAAATAAAGTATTAGTATATAAAACGATGATTGGGTGATTCTCAAATATTAGCAAGTCACATATGGGGGGTGAATGGTTATAGTAATAGTAACGTTTGTTGCAATAAAGTTCTCAGATTCTAGCTACTTTGCTTTCTAATTGCTTTTGGATGTTAGTGATTGCAATAAAAAGTAAACTCAATCATTTCGTTAAGTCCGTTTCTTTTTTACCCCTAAGTGCAATTATGTTAAAATGACTGCAGTTTGCTACATATAAATTGCGTGTTTTTACACTTGGACAAATCGGTTTACTTTGTTAAGTACGCAAAAGAGTATGCCGTTTGCACAGAAAACAAAATTACTTATCAACTGTAAACTGAATGGAAGCACTAGTACCATTGTAATGGTCACAACACCTGATTATCCAAATCGTGTTTCCCATACTGAAGTTTTAATGCACCAAATGTTGAGACGTGTGCTTGACTCCGAAAGAAGAAACACAACAAACACGATAGATTTGACAAAAAATGACATACGAGTTACGAATCTATAAATTTGTAATTATATCATTCATGTCTATGCTTCTGACTGAGCAAAAGATAGACTTTGTATTGGTATAATTATTGACCAAACTTGAGACTGAATGTACACGTAGTAGATTGTTCATAGATATTGATGTGTACATACACAATAATAATTTGTAATTCTTATAATATCGATTTATCTAGTTTGAGAATTCTATATTGATATGTAATTCGGTTTTACGAGAACTCATCGTGTATAATTGCACGGAACTTAGAAAAAAGTACGCAAATTGGCATATTTATAACTAGCAATTAGCGGAAAGCGGGCATGTTTGTTCATCGATCTTCCGACATTACGTATTCAGATAAATTATGATGCATAACAGCTTAATTTGTTATAAGCATTTGGTAGAAGTATTATAAAAACATGTTAGTTAAAATGGCTTTTTAATGGATATATTAATTAGGGAACTGATACTGTTCACATTTTTTAGTAGATATAGTATGTGCGATGTTACACTTATAAGCTGGTGTCAATTTCAAGCGTACATATATTTTAAGATGCTCGTATTTTACTAATTATAATAATAACAATAACGTTCTAAATAAAATAATCGGTCAATAAAAATCTTTTATAAACCGAAGAATGAATTAAAGATCAGCTAAATATACTCTTTGTTAGCGTCGACTGTGTTATGTGTACAATCACAACCGGCAAAAACTCTTGCCGGTGGACATTTTTATATCGTAGTAAACTCCTGCAGAATTAAATTAAGTTCACTTTAGTAATGAGAGCAAAATGTATAAACATTAATTACGATATATGTATAAACTATGCTCACCACTACCTTTATTCGCAATATCTAGATATCTTTTCATTAATTTCTGCAAGAAAATAAAATATGCCCTGACAGCAGGACCTTCGTTAACCCATGCTCTCGAAGCTCGGTTGTTGTGTCTGTGATAAATTGGCCTATCGTCATTGTAGCTGGCGATGTAATTACGTCGATATATGTTGTAAATCTTTAATGGTTTTGTCGCGTCGGTTTTATGCGGTGCAATTAATTTGTAAACGGGGAGGTATAATGGAGATGGAGGATTATTTAGTCGATGTCTATCGACTTCAGTAATCGATGTTTCGAGAAAATTAGTGACGGAAAGCATTATAATTGAATATTATGTAAACGTATTCTTACGTTTATGAAGTTATTCTTATATGTAATTTAAGTTTGGCGCAGTGCGTAAGTTAGTAAAGAGCTCGTTATTGTTTCTATTTAATCATACCATTGTTTATATAGAGGGTAATACTGATTGATGATTTTGTTCTCATTTAATTTAATGGAGAGAGAGTCGATGTGCCGTTGCTGACCATAAACGTTAATAATCTGCAGGTCGATCAGACAATTAACAATGCTTCCAAATTTTATTGTATATGTAAACATTCTTAGAACAGTGAGATTGTCCACCCCAAATAATATATTCGGAGTAATTTTTTCACCATACATGGAGTCTGTAACAACAAGTGAATAAATGAAATTTATTCTAATATTGAATTACATATATGCTGCTGCGCATGGGGAGAAATCGTTATAGATCAACTTGTGGCAAATAAATTATATTTCATATTTTATAACAGATACTAATACTGCCAACTCTCTGCCTGATTGTAGTCTAACTACTCATTAGTTTATTCTTCTAGTTCTCTTATTCTCAAAGAATTGTAATATTTGTGACAGAGTTTGCAAACAATCAGAGAATTGAAAAGTTCACCGGATTGTGCAACCATTAATTCAAACCGCAGTTTGGCTTACTACATAAATATACAACAGATGGTGCCCAATGTTAAATAGCTTCTAGCTTTCAGAAAAAACCCTCTCAACTTTAACATGATTACCGTAGAAATAAAGACAGGATTTCTTACTGGCTTGTTCAGGAAGGGTTATCCAACAGAACTGCAGGATTACGTAAGTAACTTGTAATTATATCAAGTTTTATAATTAAACTTTACAGTACCGTCATTTTGCTTGATTTCTTGTCTTTATAAGTGTCGCATTTGTTTCTCTTTTTTTACATTTGACTTTCTTAGATATGTCAGGACAAGTTTTATATGAACTTGGATGCTCTAAACAAACCGTTAAGAACAAATACTATTCGACTTCTTTGGCTCAATCTTGCTACACTTGCTTTATGTGGGACATTTGTCGCTATCATTTTTGTTGTAAGGCAAAACGATATTGAATATGATCCATTTATGGCGTTGTATCCTATAATGGTCATGTATTTTGTAACAGTATTTATGCTGGGCTATTTCGGACTAATTTGGAGTTTACAGGTAAATAGAATATGTAAACATAGTAAAAGCGATTTTGTTTTGTAACTCTTTTACTGTACTGTAGATAGAGACGGAGAGAGAACGAATCGTGGATGAATTTAATGCTTGCGATCAACGACGAGGCATTAGATGGGAATATAACAGGAGGAGGTCATCTTGTTTTAAATGGGTATAATTTGGTTTATTATGTATTGTTGGTTTTATAAATTGTGTCCTTTTTATTAATTATGACATCAAATATCTTATCTCTAGCCATTTCTTCTCATCGAAATCGATGCTCACTCGCGTAACAAAATAGCAAATGGACTTACCAAATGTCGTACATTTTAGTTTTTAACATTTCATGTAATCGTAGACACTGAGTCTATCATTATATCAATAAATAAACTGACATACTCATACTTGCTGTGTGAATATTGATAAAGATTTGACACTTTGTATTATCCGGACGAAGACACTAGATAACCACAAAACTATATACCACTAAACGCATTTTGTGCTGCCATGTAGACAAACAGTCTTTGTATAGAAATCTTTCGGAGACTAACTACGGAGAGAATGAATGCCGGAAGCGAGAATAATTTATGTGCGATGAAGCTTTTTGACACTTACCTGTAAAAAAATAAGAATTCTTAGCACTGTATAATATAATAACATATAGTTATCTTATAACGGGTTATTTGTTTGATTGTCTTCAAACCGATGATCAGTCACTTCGGAAGTCAATATTCTAGCTACTACGCTACGTTATAGCTAGATGCGGAGTAAAACGTCCGCCGCAGTTATACTTGTTTAGACAAGCTGTTGCACCAGGCTGCAATAGATAGTTCTAAATGGACTTTCTATTCAATTCAATGGGGGAAAACACTGCATGCCATGACGTAAAAAGTATATAATAATAAATGGCTGGCCAAGACACACCATCGATGTGTTTAACTTTTCGTACGACCTGTATGACTATAATTTGCATGTGGAACAGCCAAGAGACAATACGCGCGCTTACATTTATTATAGAGGCCCTTGCGTATTAAACCATCTTTCAGAACTGGACCCCAAACTATTCGGAAACAAAGACCGCTATTTCCGGTTCATATTACCTAGAATATGCAAGTGAGATGTACTGTATAATCTATAATTAAATAACGTAATATATTACAATACAATCTAATTACTCGACCCCAAACTTTTGCAATGTGCTGCGCATGAAGAGAAGCATTATAGACATAAACAAATTAACAATGAAAATATATTTGTTTTATATTTTATAATAACATTACTGAAACCCTCCGTCTTTTTAACACTAATTGGAGAACTACTCATCAATTTACATTCACTCTGTATTATCAATCAAAGAGTTGCCGGTAATATTGTGACAAACGGTTTGCGCTTAGTTAAAAAGGCTTATACATGGAATTGTTTGTTGTATTGTGTATGCTGCTGCTGCCTCAACAATACCATCAATTTCCGAACCGCGGTTTGTCTTACAATATAAATATAAAACGAACAACGCCCGATATCTACCACCCTTCATCAAACAACTTTAGCTTAAGAAAATTCTCAATATGGTCAATATACGAGTAGAAACAAGATTTTTTGGAATCGTATACCAGAAGACCTTTCCGACGGAATTACAGAACCATGTGAGTGAAAGAATACAGATTACCGCCGAAAGAGACTGGGTTGATGTTGAAGTCTTCGTTGGTTGTTTATCTTTTAATTGCTCGTTTCCTTATAATTATCATCTATCAACTATTTCTTTCTTACACATTTAGATGCCTCAAGACGAATTTTATGCAAAAGTAGACGCTTTGAACAAACCATTAAGAAAAACCAGCTTCCGACTTGCTGCGCTTGGTTTTGCAGAACTTATTTTGTCTGGGGCATTTTTCTTTATTTTGGGGCAAAACCTTAGCGGACACATCCCAGACACTGTGTTGTATATTGCAATAGCCATGTACCTCTTGACGCAATTTGTAACTTCCTACATAATAATAATTTTGTGTTCACAAGTAAGTAGAATACATAACCCCTTTATTAGCGCGCAAAGATGTAGTATAATAGATGATTCTCAAATTTGGCAATTACATCGTTTTGTAGACAGAGAAAGAGAGGAAGCGCATTGTAAGCGAATTTAACGCTAGCAATAAACAGCGAGATATTAAATGGAAATGTATCAGAAAGCCGTTTTGGCCGTTCTGCGTCAAACAGGTATAATTGATTCGGATTGAGTATTACTTTCTTATGACCTTGTGTTGTTTCACTAATCATCGCCTCAACTATCTTTCAGTCGTCCATTATCATCGAAATCGACGCTTCCGTATGTAGCGAGAAAGCATTAGAGCTTACTATTACCAGATCTTATACGTTTTAAGTTCATCTACACTTCGTGTGTCAACTGTATGCATTTTATTGTTATTGACCAATAAACTAGTATACTTATTTCCAAACACAAAAGTTAACGACTTGCTGCGTAGTCCAAATTTCCTAGTTACAAGATATTGATAAGATTGCTTATTCATTAGATATCCACACAATCATATATTACTGAATGTATTTCCGTACTGTCCGCTCAATATTCAAAGAAACTAGCTATGATGAGAATAGCCATACATTCCGGAAGCAAATAATTGTGGGCGATGATGATAAAGAAATAAATAAACGCTTTTAGTATTGTACATTATAATAAGCTAGTTTGCTCGTTTTTCACTGATCAAATTATGAATTGATGTGCTGTTCTACTAACACCATCACCACCCCCATCATCACTACCTGCTCTGCGTTACACTGAGTTGCGGATCAAATGTCCGCCTTTCATACTTTATTTGGATAAAGTCTTTGTGCCAGAGTGCAGACAGACTAGTCCCAATTTTGACAAGACACACGGGCTTGATATGTCGTTATTAATCATCATCTAGAATAATCACATTAATTAACAATGTCAGTATATTGTCTATGAGTTGCCCCGTGCTAGTTACTACATCTCGACAGCACAGCTATATGCATGCAGATAAAGTTCAATTGGCAAGAATACTCTGGCTATCGTAATA